TAAGAGTTTTTTTAATATTGTTATTCTTTTTTCTATTTTGTGATTGTTATATTTATGTTATATTTAACAAGAGAACAATTAAACTAAATTTTCTTGCTCAGCGTCGGAAACTGTCAATGTCTATCAACATAGAACATAAAAACAACTAGATTTGACTCAACTACACCAACCCTTGAATAAACTCATAAATGTGCATGCATAAGGCATTTCACCCTCGACCTTGGAAAAACTCTTGCTAAAAACTCCTAAATGGAAATCAGCCTTTAAGGGGTAAGACTACTGTAGAATTCTAAAACATTTTTTGCAAATTTTTTTTTAATGGAAGGAAAAGTAAGAGGATAATTATATTCAAGGATGTCATTAACCCATGTCTTTAAGTATTAAAAAAATATATTTATTCGTAAATAGTACAAACTGGCGACGCTAGAGCAATTCATTCATTTGCATGATGCAAATTTGAAGATAGAAAAAACAAAAAATTTTTCTCTTAATCTACATGACTATGGCTAGAGAAATATGTAGGGGACTTTGAAAATTTTAATTTCTTGTAGACTACAAGCCTATGTGAAGTTTTCAAGGGGTCATTTGACTCGGTATGAATTACTTATAAATCAATACTACCACATTATAACAATAACTTTAGAAACTATGCTGTCAATTTTTGTTGGTACAGGTGAGTACACAGTTAAGCTAAACCTGTCTATGGGCAAAACATTTTTGTACGGAATTTCTAAAGTATCTAGGTTATACAAAAAAATTAACATCAACCTAATGCCGTACAAAACTAGCAATACCAGAAACAAGGAAAATTTTTGATTTTCTGAAAATTTTGGCCTGGTTTTTGGTAATTTACTACAGTACGGCATTTATACTGCAAGTTTGGGATTGATACGTAGATAACTTTTTTAATGACGTCGTATGTATCTGCTGATACAGGGGTTAGAAATGCAGGGCGCAACCCTCTATTTCAGCTCCCACTGTTTCAAGTCATTGAAAAGTGTATGGCACCGATTCCAAATGATTATTTAACTTTCCAAATAATTCTTAGCAACTATGCCGCCTGAAAATTATGGTTAATGCAAAAGTTTATAAACAATTACTTGTATTTTGGAATTGAGTTTTATTTTTTTTTATAAGATCATTAATTCCTATACTTTACTATACTACTACTATACACTTTTTTGATAAAATATAACCAAAAACTATTGTACTAAATCATGGCCGGTTATAATTAATGGTGCAAATTAAAAATTAAAATTAAAAAACAAACAAATAAATTGTGAAAATTTACAATATTTCGAAATTCCTTGTTATAAACTAAAAATGTTATATCCAAATTTTATGGCTTAATTGACTTTTTATAAGTAAAAAAATAAAAAAAAACTGCCGTACATTTTTAACTAGTGGATTTTACATAGCCGAAAATATTTTTCATTAAATTTTTACTACATTTTTAGGTCATTAATAACTATACGGCATTTACAAATTTTCATCCGAAATAACGAGCGTTCAAATAAAAACGTGGTCAAGTTGGTTCTGAAAATTTGGATGTAGGGTGTGGCGTATAGCAAATGAACTTAAACGTCATCTGTCAAAGCGCTATATCGCCGCTATCAATATGAATATTTTCGTTTTAAAAAGCGTTTAAAATAGTGTTTTCTCAAGAACAAAAAGTGTTTATCTTAGAGTCCTACTTTAGAAATGGACGCAAGATTGATGGAATATGGAAGTATTCTATTGAGGAATGTTTCATAGAATTTCAAAATCAATTTCCCGGCGTTGTTGAGTACAAAATTTTTCAAAGTGCAGTTCAGCGTTGTGTTAATGTTTTTCGTGATACGGGCAGTGTAACAAGAAAAGAAGGAAGCGGCCGACCTAAAAAGCGGACTGAAGAATTAAAAGAAAATGTCCAACAAATAATGGAAAATGCGCCAAGAACTTCTGTATGTGTTTTATCACAAATGGTGGGAGTATCAGTCGGTACTGCCACACAGTGTTAAAAAAAGATTTGTGTTTGTTCTCCTATCGTTTAACTTGTCAGCAAGAACTTCTTGAAGTTGATTTTCAGCGACGGGCTGTATTTTGTGAATGGTTTTTAAACAACTACGGTGAACTTCATAATATCACCTTTTTTTCTGATGAAGCCTGGTTTCATTTAAGTGGTTACGTAAACTCACAGAATATGAGAATGTGGTCTTCTGAAAAACCAGATAACTTTTTTGTCGAGGGCCCTCTACACGCTCAAAAAATTGGAGTTTGGTGTGCTCTCAATCGAAGGAGGATTTATGGACCTATTTTTTTTAATGGTACTCTTACTGCGCAAAGGTATAGAGAAGAAATTATTGCTCCTTTTGTTAACCAGCTGGAAGAAAACGAAATTACAAACTTTTACTTTCAACAAGATGGAGCAAGGGCACATACGGCAGGCAAGACGATGAATATGTTGAGGGAAGTTTTCCAAAATCGACTAATAAGTCTCAATGCTGAACATGAATTTCCACCGAGGTCATGTGATATTACGCCGTGTGATTTCTTTTTGTGGCCTTACCTTAAAAACACTATTTTTGAACTGCCTATTCCTGATTTAAACCATCTGCAGGCTCGACTTATAGACAAGATTCGTGAAATTAACAATACCCCGAGCATCTTAGAAAATGTCTTTAATTCTTTGAGGAACAGGTGTGAAAAGTGCTTGGAACAAGGAGGGGGACACTTTCAGCAGCTGCTTTAATTTATTGTTATAACAAGGAGGGGGACACTTTCCGCAGCTCCTTTGTTTGTTATTGTTATAACGATTATTCTTTAAAATAAAGTTATATAGTCATTAACGTTATTGAAATTGACAGCTGCTATACAGCTCGTTGAGAAATGAGGTTAAGTTGGTCGCTATAAGCTACTCCCTACGTCCAATGTCTCAGAGCCAACTTCGACCACGTTTTTATTTGAACGCTCGTTATAACAAAGAATGAAAATTGCAATGCCGTACATATTCGTTGGAAAGTCCAAAATGAGTTTTATTCTAATTTCAAACAATTAATTTTAACTCAATATTCATGAGAATAATTCCTATATAAATACTTACATTTAAAACAGTAATATGTTTTGAAGTAACAGTACCCTCGCATTTGCATATTTGCAACTTCTGTTATAATTTTTTGAACAATTTATTTATGCAAAAATTGTGATGAAGCCATTGGCATACTATATATGTTTAAAATTAGTAAAAATAATTTAAAAGTGCAAACAACTTTAATAAGATTGTCGGTGATAAACATGAATAAAACCACATAAAAATTTACAGGCCGAAAAGAAAAAAGAGAGAGAAAGATGTTTTGACGGCCAGTTAGAATCTCGAAGCGGTAATTGTAATTTTAAAATAAAAATAATTCCAAATTTTTTAAAAAATTTTTGAATGCAGATTTTTTTAGATTTTTAAATAATTTTTTGGATTTTGAAAAAATTTTACTTATGTACTTGTGAAAAAAAAATATATAAGCTTTTCAAATTTATAAAATTAATAATTTTTATATCGACCTATGGTTTTTCAACAGCATATTAATTAAAAATTATTTTACATCTTAAATAATGTTTTAGTAACAATGCCGACCATTTTTCAATGATCGGAAACCATAAGGGTCAGAATATAGGGGTTTGCATATGGGGTTTCTCACTCCTGTATCGACAAATATGTACGGCATTACTGAAAAATATTTTTTTATGATATTGTATGTCTTATTATAGAAAGGCTGTACAGTAGTAAATAATTTGTATTAGGGAGAAAATAGTGTAAAAATAAAATTATTTGCAAAAATATATTTCAAGCCATTTAGAACCATTTTTTTTGTACATTTTGTTTTTGTTGATTATTGTTGTCAGTATTAACAAAATATATGAATGCCGTATAAAACATTTTTTATCATGAAATCCTACTTTTCAGAGGGAAATTAATTTGCCTTTAGGAAGCACGTTTCATGAAAAATGTACGGCATGGCCAAAAATGTCGTTATTTTATAAAATAGAATTAAAATTAGTGAATTTGATGTTGGTTCAGATCACTCCCCCCATATGCTACAAACAGAGGGTTGCATCCTGTATTCCTAACACTTGTATCAGCAAGTACATATGGCGTTGCTTAAAAATTTATCTATGTATCGATCCGAAACTTGCAGTTCAAATGCCGTACTGTAATAAATCACCAAAACCCGGACCAAAATTTTCGGAAATTCAAAAATTTTCCTGGCTTTATTGTATTTTTGTATGGCATTAGGTCGAGGTTCATTTTTTTTGTATAACCTATATACTTTAGAAATGCCGTACAAAAATGTTTTGCCGAAAACCACCTCCCTTGGCTTTATTGCTATTTTTGTACGGCATTAGGTCGAGGTTCATTTTTTTTGTATAACCTGTATACTTTAGAAATGCCGTACAAAAATGTTTTGCCGAAAACCACCTCCCTTGGTGGACAGGTTTAGCTTACCTGTACCGACAAGAATTGACGGCATAGTTTCTACAGTTATTGTTGTTGTTGTTGATTTATAAGTAATTCATGCTGTGTCAAATGACCCCTCGAAAATTTCCAATGGGCTTGTAGTCTATTGTAGTTGGCGAGCATTTGAAGTAAAAAATCATATTTCGAGAAAAGCACGTTTTGATATACAGGTTCGGAAAATCCCCATGGTACATCGGCCGTTACGTGAGAGCGATAAAGTAAGTCATAGAAATCCGTGCGATAGACAAGGATGGTTACATTGAAGACGTTTCATAATCTGAATAGTCACTCCCACTTCTAACCCGAAACGGGCGGTGACTATTCAGATTATGAAACGTCTTCACTATAGCCATCCTTGTCTATCGCAAGGATTTCTTTACTTTACTTTGTTGCTCTCATGTAAAGGCAGATGGACCATGTGGATTTTCCAGCCCTGTATAAGGTATACTAACGTACTTTCGTTTGGAAATGCTTCTAATTGAATACAAACTATGTTAAAAAAGTAACTTACCACAGTTAGCATGGGGCTGCTGTAGTTGATAGTTTGGTTGGGAGGAAGTATAATAACATGAGACACTGAACTGCTTCCAATTTCTGTAGTTTGCTGTGACTGTGTCGTGGTTGTAACTGAATTGCTAATCACGGCTTTGGTAGCAGTTGTATTAGTCTTTGGAAAGTCTTTTTTGGGTGCAGCATTATTTGGGAAGGTATCTTTTTTTAGTAAACTAACTTGGCTACTAAGTTTAGGCTGAACATTAGGTTTTATATAAGTAGGTGTAGGAAAGGATTTTCTAGCTCTCGGTTTGTACGGTGTCATTTTTGCAAAAGATTTAACAAAAATTTCTCCTTCAAGGGAATTAGAAACACTTTGTCGTACATCCAAGTTTTGGGTACCCAATTCCAGTCTGTCACTACTGGCACTAAAGTTCATTGCTACATCATCGATTATTCTCGTTAAATTATCCAGCTTTTTAAATTTCTCTCTCTTCTCCTCCGTTTTAGATCGGGTTCTGATCGCATTGCCTTGTTTTTTATTAGGATCGTTTATTTTTTCAGATATATTTAAAGCTGACAAATACTTTCTCTTAGCCTCTAAGTTTTCAGACTCACTAAAATCATCATCTGTCTCTGGTTCACTTTTAATATCCTCAGTTAGGATTTCTTGAACGGAACTCTGTCTGCTAACTGAGCTCATTGGTGTTGAACTTGAAGAGGACGGTTTACGTATCATTTTCTTGCCTTGCAGGGACTTTTGCAGTAAAGGACTATTAGAAATTTCTTTCTCTTTGGATTTGTTTAATATAGTTTCAATGGGGACCAGTTTGACTAATTTAGCTTGAGTTGAGTTTTCGTTAGAAATAACTTTCCGTTTTCTACTAAGCATTTTTGAATTTAACAAGGTGTTATTTTCATTGGAATATGTCCTGCCTTGTTTATCAGCTTCTATAGACTTGGCTTCATTCAAAGAAGAATGTATAATATTAAAAATGTTGTTCTTGTCTATTTCAATATCTTCCAACTCTTCTACTTCTTCACTATCCTCAAACTCTTCTATAATATTTAATACTTCAGGATGAATCATTTTTTCATTCTGTGGTGTAGGTTTGTCAGTAACGGAAAAATTAGCGTTTGCATTATCTTCAGTTCCACTGGAATTACTCTTTCCATTTAAAGCTGGCGTGTTTGTTGAGGAAATGGTAAATTCAGTTATGGAAGGTTGAATTAAAGCTCTTTGTTTTCTTGGCAGTTCTTCAGAGGGTTGTAATTCCGAAGCTTCATTGTCTTTAGGTGACACCACCAGTTCTCCATTGAAATTGTCAGATTTTTTTGATTCCACATTAATTTCAATTTTACTATATTCCTTCTCGATATCATCTTGTTTGGGATCTAAAGGTGTCTCATCAATTTTCTCAGCTAAATCATACTTTTTAGCAGCTATATCTATAATATTATCTGTAATGCTAATAATTTTTGGTTCATGATCAGCTTCATCTTTGTTCTGGGTTATATTATCACAGTTGCTTTGAACCAAAATATCTTCATTTGTGATTGGTGAAGGAGCAGTTTCTGTTGTATTATCGCCAACACTAATCTCTCTTAGATCACATGTTTTAGTTGACGGATCAAGGCATTCACTATTGGAATTGCAAGATTTATCACTGTCTTCTACTGACGAAGTACTGGGCTGGCTAAAATCTACTATTTCATGATCAACTACGTGCCTAAATTTCTCAATAAGTATGTCTGTTGGCGATTTTTTGTCATTAATATTTCTCCTGGCTTCTTCTATCTTAGAATCTGCATTTTTGTCTGAATCAGATAACCGTTTGATCAATTTATCTGATATCTTAAGTTTATTTGTAGGAGAGATTGTGAATTCTGCATTTTCGATATCAACCTGAACAGGTTTCCTTTTGCTTTGTTCAATTTCTGATCTGGATAACTCACTGTCACTTGAATTTGAAGATATGTTTTCCGAAATACTGATGCAACCTATATCGTCATTACCGAGTGTAATCTCCATATTCTCGGAAATGTCAACCCTATTAATTTTTTCTGATATGCTGGGCATTAGAGCTGAATCACTTTTTACACTTAAATCGCTGTTCCTTCTAGCTATTTTTTGTGACGATTGTATCACGTCTTCAGTAGACTGACGTTTTTGGTTGTAAATGGCATCAGATATTCGTCTGGCCAAAGGCTCGTTATCTGAAAAGGTGATTAATTAGTAAACTGGGAGATCTGTAAATCAAAAGCTAATTTAAAAAATGTACCACAACTACAGAATATTATTTCAATGAGTAAATAAACAAATGGTGGTACAAAAAAGTTCCAGAAATTTGAATCAAGCTCACGAACGAATGTAGTTACTGAGAAATACCACTATGCGGTTTTATGTATATCCTTTGTGAGTCTGTATTTCCAGTGGTTTCATGTACACAGTCCAGCTATTAAGTTTTAAGACTGATTTTATCATAGCGATGTGTGTGGCGCTCTCTATGTGCGGTGGGGTGAAATGAAACTACGTAGTGGGAAGCCTTCTGAGCAACCAAATAAAGTTTTGTATACACGTATCTATATTACTGTATTATTACTTTTGTTGTACAAAACAAGTGTTTAGTCACTTATTGTATACTCATTTATTCACAACTATTCTCATTGCTGTATTTTGTATGTAATTTTTTTTTGTGTGCAAATAAATTATTATATATTATCTACCAGGAAGTTATAATGTTTTGCATGAAACGAGTTTTTGATGGTTATGGAAATGCACATAGCACAGCTTACAGCAATCATATTTTGTTTTAAAGCCAGTAAAACAGCTACGGAAATGTATTAACTGTTACAAATGGCGTATGGTGAGGAGTGTGTATCACATCTGAGTGTGTTCCTGTGGTTTGGGAGGTTTCGTGATGGATGAGAGAGCATGCACCATGACGAGAGGACGGGGTGCCCCATACAAACCAAACGAATGAAAACATTGAAGTTGTGCACTCTGCGCTAAAGTCTGATTGTCAATCTACCATTAGAATGTTGTCAGACCGTGTACGATTGATCAACGATCGGATTTCAACACAGAGCGCAAAGCTTCAATGTTTTCGTTCGTTCTGCTATCAAAACTCGCTTCACATAAAATGTTATAACCTTGTGGTAGATATACGTACACTAGATATACATATACTGACGAAATTTTCTTCGGTCGCTCGGAAGGCTACCCAGTACATAGTTTCATTGACTTCACACAGATAGCAATACACATTTCAACAAAGTAAAATCAGTGTTAAAACTTAATAGTTGGACTGAGTAAGTGGATACAATACACTTACTTGTTGGCGAACAATTTTTCGTTGTTTTAAATGCTTATTTTAGTGGTTTTGCAATGGCTGGTTTGAAAGAACAATGTATCTGTATTAAGGTTTGTTTTAAACTTGGTAAGATTGCCGCAGAACCCCATAAAATGTTAAAGGAAGCATTCAGCGATGACTTTTTTAAATCTACAAACTTATAACTGGTTTAAACATTTCAAAAATGGTCGAACATCAGTTGAGGACAATGAACGTTCCGGACAACCATTAACCGGCACTACACCAGAAGATGTCGTTTCTGTTGAGAATGCAATTGTGAATGATGATAGGCAGACTATCCAAGACATCTATAACATTGCCTGATTATCGTATCAGTGGATTTTATTGGAAAAATTGAACACGAGAAACATAACAGCACAGTTCGTGCAATGACTCTTATACGATGAAGAGAACAACCTGGCAGGGATATCTGTCAAGAATTAAAAGAACAGCTCTGAAATTGATCCCAATTTTTTTTCTAAAGTCATAAGTGACAAAAGTTGCATTTATGGGAATGGTTCTGAGGCAAAATAACAATCGTCACAATGGAAAAGCCCATCTTCATCTCAGCTAAACAAACTCCGTCAGGTCAAAAGCAACATAAAGTCCTTATTGATCTGTTTTTTTATACTGATTTGATTATCTCTAGTTTGTACTTGCAGGTCAGACAAATGCAGAACTTTATCTTGACATCTTAAGGCAGCTTGGGGAGAATATCAGAAGGAAACGTCCAGAGAAGTGCACAAGAACGACTAGGTTTTCTTAAAAGGGATAATGCGAGGTCACATACCGCTTTCACCATAGCCGTCGTGGGAGGAAAACAACACGTACATCAACCCGTGATTTTTTCTGCCTTTCAAATATGAAAATTGAGTTGAAGGGGCGAAGATTTGACTCAGTAAAGGAGAATAAAGTTGAATTGTAGACGGTGTTGAATATATAAACACATAAAATAGAGGTTTGATGAAAAAGTAACGGGAATTTTCAAATTGCGCTTGTTGTATCTTGTCTAACGAGTTGATTCTTTTTTTGTGTATTGTCAGTGAAGTATTTGTCAATTTTTAGGCAGCTGCCACATGTAGTTTGGGTTTAGCGAGCGAATGAGTAATACTTATCTCAGTGTTTTTGTAGATTTTTTTGTGTGGAAAAATGTCGAATAAGAGTTTGTCCATTTTATGTTGAAAATAGAACTAAGTGTAGCAAAGCGTTCAAAATGTTGAAGGCCTTTGGCAACAATACTGTGTCACAGTCACAAGTTTATCGAAGGCCAAGAAAATATCAAAGATGAGGCAAGATCTGGTTAAATGTGAAGGTCTTTCTAACCATTTTCTTTCACTAGAATGGAATAGTTCATCACGAATTTTTACTGCTCGGTCGTACAGTTAACTAGTACTACCTCCAAGTTTTGTGCAATTTGCATCAGGTAATCACGAGAAAATGACAAGAACATGAGAGATATCTCATGGATTTTGCATCACGACGCATCGAAGCATACCGTTTTACTTATCCAACAGTTTTTGGCGAAACAACACCGTCGTAATGCCACAATCAAACTATTTTCCGGACATGAACCGTGTGACTTTTTCCCTTTTTCCCAAACTCAAATAACAACATTTTTCAGCAGTAAATGAGATAAAGATAAAATCGCAAATTGAAGACGATACCTAAAGAGGCATTCCACCAGTGTTTCTCATACTGGAAACTATTTCGGTATAGGTATATAGCATAGGACGACTACATTGAAAGGATAGGACAAAAATTGAAGATTAAATAAATACTTTAGGAGAGAATTAACAATTCCCATTACTTTTTGATCAATTCTTGTACATGTAAAATAAGACTTCCAGAGCTGGGATTGGTGTTTCTAATCCCAAGGGTATTACTTTGAAGGTGACTGTAGTGAATAAAATCTACATACTCTGCAATTGTGTTATCAGAAAAATTTCGGGAACTTTTGGGTAACACTTCGTAGATAATATATTTGACGAAACTTAATATCTTTATGATTCAAAAAATGTACCTGGAACACATTCCTGTTTTCTCTCACTCTCTTTTATATTGGAACTATCAACTGAAATATTACTTGGCACTTGAGTGTCATCCTCTTCTTCCTCTTCTTGCGTTATTTCCTCAATCGTCTCTTTCGCTTTTTCAGTAGTCTTGCCAATGAAATTTTTTCTTCGTTCTAAATCAATTTCAGTATTTGTATCATCATCAGTACCATACCCCTCCATAATAGCATCATCGTCGAATTTACTAACACTATATGATGCATCAGACCCATTTACGTTCATGTCTGTGCCATTTTGATTAATATCGGGATCGTTATTTTTAACATCTGAAACAGTTTTCTCCATTTCGATATTATTTTGTTGTTGCGTTACTGATTGAGTTTTATTTTCATCATCCTTTTTATTTTCCTCTGGTGAATTAGTTTTATCATTCCCAACTTCTGAAGTATTATCTGCTATCACTTTTTTCTCTTTCTTATCCTCTATAAAATTAACTTTACTGTTAATGTTATCAATTTTATTTTTTTTTCGAGAAGGAGTTTTATATTTTGGTAAAAATATTTGTAGCTGTTTAGTTTCGTTATCGGGCTCTAGTAGTGTTTTGTATGGTGCATATTTGAATTCTCCATATATCTTTTTGAGATTCTCAATGTATATATTCAACTCCTGCAAAAAAAATAAATTAAGCCCAGCCCAACTATATTCTGGAAAATACTTACGTCAATACATTTTTCGATATCATATCTCTTTTGCTTAAAAGTATTAGGGTCTTTTTCAGAGAAAAGGTAACATTCTTTGTAATGCACCCAAGCTCTATCGTGGGCCCCAAAAAATCGGACATCTACCATTCCTGATGTGTTGGTACACATTGCCTTAGCTGGCCAAAATGGAAAACCTGGAGAACAGATGGTGCATTTTAAGATTTTATATTTTCTTACAATATAGTAACATTACACTGAGCGTCCCAAAATTCATGCAAGATTTGAATTTTGTGCCACTTGTATGGTAGTGTTGTCAACGAAAAAAAAAGACTGCATGACAGGTGACAGTTCAGGATTATTAAAAATGGAGCATTACACAAAGGGACAACGCGTTCTCATTGTTGAGTAATATTTTTAAAATAATGAGGGATTGGCAGCAATAGTTCACAATTTTCATACAAAATACGGTCGGAATAGTGATTTAACTTCATCAACTTTATGACATTAATTGAAAAATTCTGTGAGACTGGATCATTAGTGATCTTAAACACTCTGGCAGTCCTTCAACAAAAAATATCGAAGCAGTTTGTGAGAGTGTTGCTGAAAGACCAGGAACATCAATTCGGCACCGTGGTCAAGAATTGAACATTTAAAGAAGTTCTCTACAGAGTATTCTCAAGAAAGATTTGCATCTTCATTCAAAAAGTTCAATTGACTCGAGCCGAAGCCTACTGATCACGCAGAGCGAAGAGAGTTCATTAAATGGATTATGGAACAAGTGGATGCTGATTTTTCAAAGAAAATTCATCTTTAGCAATAGACAAAATTGTCGCATTTGGGGTTCAGAAAATCCACGAGTGATTGTTGAGAAACAAATGCATCCACAATAAGTGGGTTTTTATAACTCTTGGTAATTATTTTTTATGTCCAGTACATTTTAATATTAGATTTTGTTTGTATGTATGTTTACTCTTATGTGTAACTTTTTATATGACGCGGATGAGGGGATGCCCAAAAGAACAGGATCTTGCTTCGGCTGAATAAAAATTATTATTATTGTTATTGATGATGACAAAAATAAAGTTAATGATATGTCTTACCTTTTAATTTTGCCCAAACCAATAAATGTGGCTTAGGGCAAACTTCAACAAACCAGGTGTTCTTTTTTGTATTGGCATTCAAGTAACACGAGGGACAATTTTCTATTTCTGCCATTTCTTGCTTACAAATCTTGATAATACTTTTGGCTGCTGATGTTAATTTTGACTGATCTGTGGATTAATAATAAAATTTTTTAATAACTAGTGATGTTGTGAGAAACGACCAAGTTATGCGTGTGAGATATAACAAAGTATATTTCATATCTTAATGTTACTGCTAATCAGTGATTTGTGCAGTTGGCATTGAGCAGTCAAGACACTTAAGATATAAGATATACTTTGTAGGTTAAACCAGACCCACACTCAGATAAAAAAAATGATCATTGATATATTTAAATACAACATTGATGCATTGACACTTACATGAATTGTATATAATACTATTATGTAATAGCCATTTTGCATCTGCCTCAAACGCTTGTGTGCTTCCATACAAATTCCCCTTGATATTTTTCTCCATTTTTGTTAAATCCATGGGTTGAACGATATAATTTTTATAGTCCGGAAATTCACTATCATTTACAGGATGTAGGAATGGTTCTGACTAAATTCATTTACAAAAAAAAAATTAGGGAGTTGCTAAATATCTAAGTAATTGTTTTATTCTAATTATATCCTAATAAATATTATTAATTAATTACTAATATAATACGAGTTCTAACAATTATATGATCGGAAGGCACATTACTAACAAATTTTATGAAATTTCTAAAAAAAATGTTTTTAAATTCACCTAAATTGTACAAATAATGATAGTTACAAATTCAGTAGTCAACAAGGCTGATTATTTCGTATTTATTAAAAAAAAAAACACAATTGAACTGCAATGACAAACTAAAGCTACAAAATGTAACAAGTAAATGTTCAGACGGACTGCTTATGATTTGGTAACTGTTAATGTATCCTTTGGTCTTTACAACAGAATGAATTCTCTTTAGTATAGTATCAACTAAAGATCTACAAAATTCTAGAATGAAAAATTCTCAAATATCCTGGATTTTTCATTTGAGATCAGGAATCATCCGTTGAGGGTTGTTCTTTAAAAACCTTTCGATATGGTGTCATAATGTTTTGATAACATTTAGATTGGGGCTGTGGGACAGTTAGTTCAAGATACTAATATTGTCTCCAAACCATTTTTTGTAAGTTTGGATATGACAGGATGCGTTGTACTGTAGCAAACAAAATTTCTGTCGATAAACTGTATGCCATAAGTTTCTTTTCAGAATATCTCCATATTTATCTGCATTAATTGTGCTGTTGATGAACTCTAATCTTCTAATCTTTACCGATATGTAAGAAAAGCCCCAATGCACACATCATACTTGGATTTATCACTGAAAATTACTATTCAGCTTTCAATGTTAATAATTATTGCCTCTAAGTGCACTTTACCTTGTAAAAACTGTACTAGAGTTATACCGACAACATTCTTTTGATATGTTGGTCTGTTTCTTGGTTCCACAATGTGCTCATTTCTTTCACAGTAGCGCTTCCTTAGCATTTGCAGATGTTAGCAAGATGTCTTTGTGAACATTTTGTCACTTTTGGCAGTCGAATAGAATACTTTCCCCACAAATGTCTATGCTATAAGCTTCTTGATATGATTGTTTTAATAACATATATCTCCAATTTTAGACTTCAGCATATTCATTTATCGATTTCCCTCGTTCATATTGTTTTATACAATAGTGTTGCAAAAATGTCAAACACCGACAGATGCACAAATTCCAACAATGGAGATTTGATATTTGATTTTTTCGGCAAAACGAGAGAGTCCGAATAGTTTGTTGTCAGCAAATTATGCAAAATATTATTGTGAAGGGTTTACAGACCAAAATAAATTAAATTATTTGTAAGGTGGTAATTAAAATGTCCGAAATGGTTATAAAAGGAAGACGCTAATGTAGAATAATATGTTTATTCTAAGGTTGTTTGGCATTATTAATGTTATTGCCAAAAGTTATTGCTGGTCCCACAATTTAGTTGTTAGCGCTGGTAATACTCGTAGTACTATTTTAGTTGTTAGAAACCAAATATGTAGTGATTTAATTTTTTTTCCAATGTGTATCATATGATTTTGCCGAATTTTGATAAATTAATAACTTAGATGTAAATAGGTGTGCTGAAAAGTAATGCCTCCAAATTTTTTATTCTGTTCTCAATATCGGTTGAGGTATTACATGTAATGGATATTACTTGATCGACTTTCGCTGACGCAAGTTACAACCCTCTACAGCTAGAGGGCTTCGAATTGTAGCGGGTAACATGGCGGTGTGTAACATAACCATGTCGATAT